CTTGAACAATGCTACGAAGATTCTTTTCATTTGAGACACGCGGAAGTTGTTGTGGAAATGAGATCCAGTTGTGGGTGGGCAGTATGGGTTCTACACGAAAATTACCCGGCCCCTGTAGTTTTTGTGTGTATTGCAGAACGGTCTCCTTGAGGGGCCCTATCAAACTCAAATTCCGTGTGATAAACAACTGGAGAAAACCGTTGAGTTCCTTCGTGTAGATCATCGCACCACGGCTATCATCTGGGGTTACCAATTGCTTTAAATCAGCTACGGAAACGTCTCTGGGTCAAATTTATCCTTCTTCCAGCATCATATGAACTGCTGCGTCACCGATCACCCTTTTCAGGACGCAGATGAAACAATCTAACGCCTCATCACTTTTCAGTTAGACTGCTCACAACTCCAAGTTTTTCAACAGACTTCCAAGCACTGGAATACATCAGATAAACCGGAGCTGCCGAGTTCGACATTCCAAGGAGCCTATCGATATATGCATACTGTATGCCAGTGCGCGACTGCCTGAATGCCGACGTTTTCTCTTACTTAAATTGTGACAAGTTTTAACCTCATACCACTTTGAAAAAAGGGAGTAGAAGCTATGAAGACCTTAAAGTAAACAACTGATCTCAGGTGAATAGCAAATCACGGACTGCGGAATCGTCACATTACAACCGTTACAACCCTATGATTTTTTCGTACGTTATTTTGAGACATTCTTCACTGCAGTTTGCTCAGTTTTACCACATTTCCTAATTAAGAATGTCCTGTTATTTTGTTTCATGAAAAATTAATTTTGTGGCTCTTCTATCAATGAAATTAGAATGAACAGATAATGTGTCTCTGTCATATGTGGACGGACTTATACCCAGTGCGATTTGGTCGACTGCCAACAGAGACTTTTTCTTCATTTATTTCCCGTTAAAAACTCAACTCTCAAAATGACAAAGAGATGAAACCATGGATACTCACAGATACAGTTGAACATGTTCCTAGGTAATCGTGGGGTTCATCAGTGGTACGAGACTGTCAGTGACTCGGAATCCTCCTTAAATTCCACATACCCGATTGGCAACTCGAAAGCGACCGTTCGCGATCAACCTTTTCATGAAGCTGTAGTTTGGCCGGCAAGTGTTCGTGTGCATCATCAAATGGTTTTTATTGCCCCGAAAGATTCGACCTACCAGTTTGTGATTCAGGGCGGTAGTAATACCCTTTTGACTGGAAACTCGTTGACGAATGCCGAGGTAAGTCAAGGTTCCTTATGATATATGAACGCTTTTGATATTGTGCACTGTTGGTCATACAATGAATCCCTGTTTCAGAGATTACCCTGGGTCTAAAATCAAACGTTGTAACACGTGATACTTTCGTAAAAGCTGTGGTACTGCTGTCGGTTGAATTGTCCTTAGGAGTCGGGGGTATTTCATATGATGTTTGCGCTAAGAAAAATTAAGAAAGATCAATCAGTTATTTGTGAGTAGTGATGTAAGATAAGCAATATTGATTCTGACCGGCACCCATTAGGGCGACATCTTCAGCTCAGACAATCAATCACACATTCAGGGAAGAGAACTCTCGGGCTTCATCAGTGGAATAGGTTTAAACACCGGATCCCTGGAATGGTCCATGGCTAGCGAATATCCGACTGAATGACGCGAATATTATGATCAGTTTTGGAGTCTAACAAAGTGCCAGTCAAAATCAATAAATTAAGGGACAACTCAAATTGCGTTAAAAAAGCAGATCGTCTTCATTGGAGTTGAGTTTCAAACGAAGTCGACTGACGATTCGTACACAGAGTTCCGGTTATATAACAGAGAGTGTGACCTGTTATTGGTGTGGAACATTTCTTGGCAGGAGCTGTGCAACGTTTGAGTAACCCTTGTGTTATTACAGTGCTCTCTCTGAATGTACTTGATTCATAATCGTTTATACTCCCCTCAACATCCAGGTAATGTGAAATGACACAAAGGTAACTGATACAGAAACAAAAGTATGACTATTCATTGGAGACTGTTCCGGAATTTCGATCAATAAATCGTCAGCTGGTGTTCATTCGTAATGAGTAACAATATACTTCAAAGTTGTGAATGCAAGAAATGCACCGGCGTCAGAGTTTGCTTATTCCTTTCTAATTAAGAAAACAGCAATACCAATGGGGGCGCTAGTCCACATACTCCTTGTTATCTGACCCAAACCTTGAGATAAACGACCCATTGAAAACGCGGGTGGCGGCCTGGAAAGCCCCAAACTACGGATCTTGATTGTGACTCCGGTGGTAGGTAATCATAAACCTTTTGTGTAGTAGGATAATTGAACGCATGCTTGATCAAAATACACTGGAAGAAACGAACATTTGAACAGTCCACCTTGTCTATCAGTACACCATTTGATCAGGGATCTTGCTCTCATAAGAAGGAACATATACAAGTTTCGTATAATGATAGCCAAAGATTTATTCTACCAATTCATAGACATAATGCACTTTATGGGTCCCTATCAGGGTTTGAATCGCAAATATTCCGATTAAGTGGTGGCGATCTCAAACTATGTGATTGGCAAGCAGCAAGTTAAGCACCGACATATAAAAAGTCTTTGATTTAGAACTTAGAAGCAGTGAGTTTCCTTTATCCACTTCATCAAAACAGAAAGAATTTAATGTAGTGAGGTGTTAGCATTTCGTTGAATCTTCTCAATCGCAAATATGTAGTACATGGGGTTGTTTAATTATGACGAATGAACATCTACTAGCATACAAAGATCAATAAACATAGAAGTTGAGGGTCAACTCTACGGTGAGCGGCTTGATTGTTTTAAAAACCTTTGTGTGCACGAGGTCGGGTAAGATAATCGTTTGAGCAGCCTTTCACTAATTGTTGAAGGTTTAGCATTATGATTACTTAATAGTGGTTTCAAAGACGAATTGGGGTCCTATGTGTGTCTTATTGTCATGAGGTGTTTTGCCGCAGATGACCCCGGATTTCTGGCAATCACTTGACAATCGACTATCTTTTGTGTCATCGATTTCACCAACCACTTTGGATTATGTCTGGCCACCCGCTGCGATAAATGACCATTTGTTCTGCCTATGTACGCTGTGCTGGACGGAACCGGTCTGCCAGATATGTTTACGTTTGTCCAAATCAATTCCACGAGTAGAGGCAATAAGTCTGAATTGAGCATCTGGGAGAATACTTGGTGGACTCCATGCTAATGTGACTGCCTTCATTGGTCAAAAGTGAAGAAGGGCAAATGGAACATGGACTAGATGAAAGTACGCTACTTGTACGAAGTCCATGAACCATTTTAATAAATAAATTCTAGTTACGTTTTCTACGATGACTTTGTTATTTCACAACTGATGCACCAGCAACCTTCGTCAAAATCGCGAAATCATACATTTTAATGGCGTGTGGCTACTAGAAGCAAAGATATATGTGGGTCTTATATCACATATGTTGCGTGTGATGTGGAACAATGTCATATTCAATCCCGTGGATGAGCCTGGAAAAACGGAGCATTGAGAGGAACAAAGTTGATGAAAATCAGGGTGTTGCACGAGCTTGGTCAATACCTTTATATATATATATATAGTGCTGACCTCAACTTATGTCATGCATCATTGTAAATGTGGTCACCTGTGAACACAAGCTTGAAGTCGTCGGCCTTTTTGCTAACGCTTGGCATTGGATTGCCTTTTGGTAATGGTCTACTGTGAATATGGATTAACATGGGTTATTGCTTTTAAGAAATTTTCTACTCAGGAAATTCTCTTCCTCCTTTAGTATGTTTGGAGAACAAATGTTTCTCCACCGACGAAACAGGGTTCTCACTGACCCACGTTTGTAGGCCGTGATGGTAAAGCTGTTAAAGTGTAGGTATTTGTTATTCTATGTCGCTTTTCGGTAATATCCCATTTTCGGTTGATTTCTACTTCCTGAGATGGGAATGAACTGAATTAAAATATTATAAAATGGATTTAAAATTTTCATCATCTGTAAGATTAAAAATATATTCGTACGCTTGTGCACCATAATTGAAGAATCCCGGGTGCTATATATGTGCATGTTTGTTTTAAGTCAGTGACATTTGTCCTCTCTCTGTATTGATAAAAAGTCATTCAAAATATTTTTGTTTATTCTATGCGAATTGACAGACACTGGGATCGATGTACCGTCTTTTCAATGTCAGTGTTACTCTGAAATTTCCATTAGATAGTCCCAAATAGCTGGGCTTATTTTATCAAAATGCAGCGCATTTTTCAAGGACATTGACTGTTGCCTTCGAACGCTAACATTCCAGTTCTAACTAACAGCTCATGTTTGCATTCCACATTCAGCGTGCAACACTCACAGCTGCCTCGGAGAGTAAATGGATCGATCTGGAAGAGGACGAAAAGTAAGCCTTTATTACGGTCTGTCTATTCTTTCGAAAGATTTCAACATCTCGATGCAGTGAACAAAGTCGATATGCTTCTGAAGAGTGCAACAGCACTAGAATAATTAAGGGCCACATTCGAGTTATAATAATAATAACGATAATAATGATTGCTATCCATAGTGTTACTTCCGAACTACGTTCGGATTGTATCGAAAAATCGATGCGCCATGTGATATGTTTGTATAAGTTGCTATTTGGAAAACACAGGAATGCCAGTAAAAATGAAAACAAGCCGACATTTCGGTTACTGTGGGTAACCTTTATCAAGGCGAGTTTACAATCGATTGTAAAATCGCCTCGATAAAGGCTACTCATGGTAACTGAAACGTCGGCTTATTTTCATCTATACCGACAGCTGTATTTTCCAAATTACAACTTGTGCAAATCATTGCTATCCTCTGAAATATCTTACTCTGTTTGCTTTCCTGCTTCACATTCAACTAATATAATACCAATTCACATTTATCTAACAGTTATTTGTGATTAGTCAGTCAACAGTAGTAAAATCAGCAATTCAGATTTCCACAACGTAGATAACTCATAGACGACAGCAAGCATCGAGTTATCAAGAGGGACTATTCCAACTTTAGACTGAATTGCGATCACTGTGGACCGGCATTCCATTGACAAGTGATGCCCGAATTCATTCTGGCCAACGTATGGTTTCGTTTGAACTCAGAAATCTCGGTCCATACTTGCGATCATTCAGATCGAATTTTCTGCGAATGCGAGGTGACAATCCCTGATGCGGGTTGTACGATTTTCGAATGTAAAAAGAACTATTGGACTTCGTTTAACAGAGACACAATGATTAGTCATATGGATGAAGGATACCGGAAAACATCATATATATATATATATATGCAAAATTGCTTCCATCAGCTCATGTGATATAAACCTAGTAAAATATCCTTTTCGTCGAATAATAAACTGGATATCACCGACATTCCTTGAGGTTTGAACTCCATATGCAAATGGACCTGCCCCAAAACGATGGATCTTTGTGCGTTCGGATGTGGGATACAGAAATATGGCCAGAGCAAAGTCCTCGTTCCGTGCCAGAGATTCAGCAACTTCGGATATATAACGAGGTCCTGCCGGAGATTCAAGTAAGTCGATTATTCAGTACACACTATCACTGTATCTCTAATGGACAGATTGTTTCCAGTCTTCTAGTTTCAAGCACAGGATAAACAAAGACTGATTGTTATAGAGAGGATGTTTTGTCTTTAGTAATAAAAATATAATGATAATTCCAACCGACGGCTATTTGGTCTACGTCTTTATGCCACTTAACCGTGCAGTTAGAGAGAAAACAAAATACTCGAGTTTCGCATTTGTCAGAGCCTATCACTCGTGTATGTCCGACGAACTTTCTGTGATTCGAACTCCGGACCCTATGCAAGGAATGCGGGTGGGCTATCGCTTTGCAAGTCAGCTCACACCGGGGGTTGACCAACTCAAATCTGTTCGTCTTCCATGATAGGATCGGTCAGTTTATTATTCCTGACAACATCAGAAAATATAATAAAATAATTTATGCAATGAGTTAATTTTATTCATTGATCACAGGAGATAATATTGCTCACATGAACTTTCATATCAAGCAGTAATTATAGCCTAGACGACCATCTTCATCCATTGCACCTTGATTTACCCCTTTGTAGTCTCCATCCGTCCATACGCTCCTCTTTTCGGTATCAACCATCTCTTGTTCGCGTTTATCAGAGTTCTCCTGTGCTGTATCTAACCTGAGTCCTAACGTCAACAAAGAGGTTTTTATTGAACTATTACTGAATGCGGATGTGTATAAATCAGAATCTACTTAAGTGAAATTTTTCACGTTACATGTTTTATGAGCGTGTAGTATGTATCTGGCTCGATAATTGGTGTACATTTTAATTAAAATATAGGCTTATAATCTAACAGTTCAAGTTATTGAAATGTAATTACATTGACCTTCGTGATCAAATCATAACCCCAAATCAGGGAATCGAGAATGGATAATTAAAATAAATGGAAGCAAAATATCTCAGTAACAAATTTGAATATAAAATATCAGGAACATCCTTTCTCGTTGATCTATTTGAGTAAAATAAATAACACAATGTGAGCAGAATCGATATCGGTCATCAATTCCGCATGTTTTCAATCAGCTGTCTATACAGATTAAATAGTTTGAAATGTTATAAGAAGAATACCACAGATGGACATTCACATAATCATTTGGGTTCAGGCGCAAAGAACTGGGTTGTTGAGTCATTACCAAAATCAACTTTCTTTTGTCTCTCCTCGACGATTAATCGTTTTTCCATTACATAACTTTTTCTATGCCAGCATCACCTTTTTGTGAATCCTCGCCATCATTATCCTCCCGTTCTTGTTCAATCATCTCCAAATGGCTTTGGTGGCCAATGTCTATCCTACTCATGTTGTGTAACTTGTTTTATTCAAATTGAAAATAAAAACAAAACATATTGGTTTAACAAATGTAACTTGGACCAGGTGACCGTATCTGTGGGCATGCATACTACAGATTTTTAGGATCAATAATATATAGCCAGAAAATACTGAATCCAGGGCTAACAAAGTTTGCAATCGGAATAAGTCGCGAGCCACATTCATTATCAAGCCAACACCGCAGAGCTAAGCTATTCACACTGTTTCGACGGTCGGGCATGTTAATGTTGAATGTTTTCGGTGCCTCGGGGTATTTCAGAACCCTGGTGTTGTTTGTGTCGTGTAGGATTCTGACTGTGTCTCTTAGCCTTGCTTTATTTCGATCAGGTGTTGTATGATGGACAAATCCAATTTCCCACGTCATAATTCCAACGTTTTAAACCATTGTTTTCTGGACATTTAGCGAGACAAACTCGGTACTGGATCACACATCTGTCTCACAGTCTCGCTGATTTAGGTGGCATATAATCCGTGCCTGAATTAATAGATTCTATTGGGTTTGGCGTAGAAAGACATCGCGGTTCTTCCATTGGGGCTGTCGGTAACCGGGCAATGTTAGGTTCAGCTACGTAGTAGGTGAGCTTGACGGTCGATTTTAAAGCGCTTGGTAAAACCATTTTAAATGGAATCGAAAGCAATAACGTTCCGTGTGTGAAGCGAATGTGGCATCTACTGATAATGAGCACGCAGGTCCTGGGCAATCAAATGTTTTTGGTCAGTTCATTCTCAACCACTTGCACCGCTGCGTGGCTGTGTGAAACGTATCGGGGTGATTTGATGGGGCCGATCATGTTAGTTTAAACAACACTCAGAAGGTGGATATGGGAAGAAAGAAGTGTGACCATCCAGGTTCTCATTCCCTCAAGATGTTTTTCAGTCCTCAGCACTAGAGGATAAAGTTGACCAGCGGATAGATGATGATGTGCATTCAAGTTGAGTAGCAATGAACACTGACTTCAACTTGTTAACCGAAGCTTCAGAAAACTTCTTAGCATCTACGTTCCCAGATTGCTGAGGTCTGGAAAGGTGAATTTTTCGAAGGGGAAACAGAAGGTTTCTCTGTTACCGAAAAACTTTGAAGTTTTGACACGTATCAGACAAGCTTAGTAAACTGACTAACCATTCATCTAAACGTTCCTCATTCGCAAATATAAGGAAGAATTTTTTATCTTTATTTAAGTTTTCTTATGAATTCAGATTAAGTGATGAAAATGCATGATCCTAACGAACTCCGGGTTCACTTTGTCATGTCAGAAGAATCGGAAACGGACTGGCTCAGTGTCACGCCAGTTATGTATTGTGAAATACGCAAATCGGAAGCGATATATAGATATCTGATTTACGTGTAAGCTGAGCCACGACAAAAGAACGGCCCAGAACTTGCGAACACAAGCTTAAAGAATATCCAGTCCGGATTAGTGAATGACACTAGTTTACTGTGAGTTTAAGCTCAAGGTGCGAACTGTTTGCATCAGTAACGCTGACCAAGTTACGTTGTACGTACCAATCAAATGGTATGTAAGTTGTTGTGGTCGCGATCTAGGTGACAAAAGTAGTGGTAGTTTCAAACTCTTCCCAAAAAGCAATAACGGTTTTCATAACAAATGCTAACAGAAGAACAATTTATCGGGAAAATGAAATTAGTTCCATGTACAAAAGCATTCACATACCACCAAATGGGCAAATATCTGACCAGAATGATAAAGAGAGGGAGTACCGCTTAAACAGAGCGCTGTTATGACAGAGTTTTATGGGCAGTATTTCATTGTAACCCACTTCATTTTGCTCGTTTTCACTTGTCTATCCAGGAGATCGATAATAGCAATTTGGTTTCAAGCTCATTTGCCGGAGTGCCAGAAGTACAGAAAATATTGCTGGACAAAGGGATTGGTTACTTCAAGCTTTGTCTTTACGGAGCCTGTAGTTGTAAGTCACGTGAGCAATGTCTGCATATCTGTGTGTGTTTGCTCGCGTACTCTTTTTCGCTTGTTTGTGCATATCCGTGATAAACGTCCTTCCCATGCCCGTAATATATACATCCTGAACTTGGCGCAAATTGTCCTGCCCTCCGATTGTAGGAAAATGCATGCATAAGTCTCAATCAAACTGTTTTGTACCCTCCGATGTAGAAAGTGGGTTCGACAGATTAACCTTGGAAGCAGGGAAGACAAAACGTTCAAAGCGGTACATCATTCCCTCCTGTATTAAATATAAAGTAAAATATCAGATACTCTGAAACGAGAGTTTTGGGTCTATACAATATAGGTCCGGATTTTGAGCATTCGAAAGGGGAACGAAATCACTCAACCAGTAGAGGAATAATACGCAACCCAGGGGGAGGAGCGGGGAGGACGAGGAATTGAGAGAGGACTAGGTAGAGTGCTGAGCAATGCAGCGAATATCCGCGGGATGCTTTCTGTTTATATCAACCTGTAAACGTAATGATATAGAGAGGAGAGGAGGGAGAATGTGGGGAAAAGGCTACAATGACTGAATCTCACTTCAGTTCATACCCGTCTGGCAAGTAATCAAATTGGAACAGTATCAGCGTCCGTATAGGATAGAATTGTGATCTGATCCAAATAAAAACAAGGATGGTTTTGAGGTAGAGAATATTGAAGGTTGACTACGATCGAACCAAGATAGTGTACGGACAAACGGGCATGTCTGAATGTGTTGCCCGAAAAAAACCGTTACAAGACAACCATTTGAAACGGAAATTATTGGGCAGACATTTAAAAATGCTTTCATCTTAACAACAACAAAACGGAACTGCCCATTTATATGCAAATGTATCGGTTGAGGCAAGGCACAAAACATACAGAAAGGGTGAAACACGTCTTGGTTGCTTCCCTGACAGTGCGTACGGAAAATGATGTCCATGACCATCCCATTGTAATCAGTGAAAATTCTGTAGTGATATTCTAAAACTGTGAAATTTGAGCTTCATAAACAGTTCATTTAAAGGTATGAAAAGCTTTTCGCTTGCAAATGAAGAGGACGTATCAATAGTTTGGTCTTAATGGGTAAAAATGAGCATAAATCATATTGATTAAGTGTCCTTTGGAATGGTCTTCACACGCCGAACTCTGTTTTATGCGATCGATCGATCGATCGAACTAAAGTTTCACGCTCACCACAGCTCATAAATGGTACATACTCACCGATTGAATGTATTACGGACAGGATAAACTGGAGTTTAAGTATGGATATCCAGTCCGTCAAAAGGTCATTCAATACCAATCGAAGGGTGGTGGTGGCCAAGTGGTTAGGCTACCAACTTATGACCGGGTTCAAACCACTCCACCACCGCCCATCTTCCCAGACAGACTTTGTATGGCCGCGGTCCCTCTCCTGAATGTTAACTGTACAGTTGTATATTCAATGAATGAAAAGGAAGTAAAAAGACTTAGAGTATCAAGCTTAGATTAGTCCATCCGATTGTTCAGAGGCACCAGGCACTCTTGATGATCTTTGGCGTGGGTTTCACTCCTTGGGCGATCGCTAATTGCCCACTGTTTGTATGCATTTAAATGCGATGAAAATGTTAGTGATAACCAACAAAGAGCACTGGACAGCTGTTTCGTTCTGTTTGGGACTCGTCAGCAGTGCGTACTTTTCGTGTCCCTGTCAGGACTCGAACCGCGATCAGTCGGGGTCCCGGGGTTCCCAGCCAGGGAGCTTAACAGGGCCTATGTGACCTAGTCTCGTGGTTAGGGCACGTGTTACGCATGTCACCAAATAGGTTGCCGTGGTGAGCGATATTTGCCGAGGTAGTTAGCGATTGGAAAAGGTAAAAAGTGGTCAAACTAAGTGGTTCATAGACCTTAACGGACACTGTAGGGGTTAGTTCACAAACGACCTGCAACGCACGACAAATAAGTGAAATAAGGAACCAAAATATCCAGATAGTTTTGAGTTGAATCAGGATTGAATTCGTCGCAGACAGAGTACAGACAACGTAAACTGAAATATTTGAAAGCATTCATTACACGGCTTTTTAACCTCTTTGGATATTATCAGCAGTGCGAATTCTTCGATCCGCCCAGGATCGAACTCGGAACCTATCAGCTTGAATAAGAAACAGGTGATTCGACTGTTTCATTTTGTCCTTGCAGGAGAAAAGTGCAATCCATTTTCACGAGGGTTTTGCGAGCACCCAGCCTCGCTTATCTGCGCGCTTGGTTCAAATGTTAAAACTTGTTTTGGCTTGCGAGCTAGCTGCAAGGTCCCGATTTCTACATTCTCACGTTGGTTCGATAAATTTAAACTGACCCAATGAGATGCAAATAGCTGAGCAAAGTGCTTTCGAGCCTTTTTCGGGCACGTTTATTTAGCTATGTGAATGACCGGGTTTACTCATGTTAACGTTTTTTGTTTTTTGTGGAGCAAAGTATAGACCACCTCGCCACGAAAACTCAGTAAGGTGACTGAGGAAGAAGTGTGACAAACTAAGTGATCACTGCTAAGGAATGGAAACAAAAATAAAGCTAGGAGAGAGTGGGAACAATAAATGTGTTGGAAATACTTAATCGTTGGAAAACTCCTGCCTAATGCAACAGGGGTGCTCATATGCGATCAACGCGCGTAGTCGATTCAAAACAGAGCACGGGAAATCCGTTCAGATATTGTTCAGGATAATCATCAATGCGTCCAACCGTGGTGTCGGGACTGTCGATGTTTTGAGTAACCAACAGCTCGAGAGTATGCCTCCTGGATGTGAACACTAAACAATGTAGGCTGACCAGACCAATTCTTTTGAAAGTCACACAAACTATACACGATATCTATCTGATTTGAAAGTGTGATAAACTTGTACTTCATCATCGTCTGTGAAACTCTTGAACTGATTCGTTATTTCAAAAGATACCGTCCGCCTTACAAGTTTAGACCTCCTAGTCATTTCGATAAATCAAAATGCCCTTGTGCTAACCCATTCTTCCTGATTTTGCGTTCCATCAATAAAGCAACTTTGGAAATCAAAACCTTGAACAATTCAGCAGTCAAATTGGCCATCGATCAGCTGCTGTTCACCAGGGCCACGAATACGGAAGTTGGCGATATGGATGATGATGACACTAGACTGCAAATTACCGTACAATTTGATGCTGATTTCGGTACGTGGATGTTTCCACCCGTGACACCCAACATTTTCCCTTATGCCTCATGGCATATGCATCTTCAACTAATCAACTTGTTTTTCTCATCCCGGATCGGAACCTTTACGTTCGCTTAATTCTGCAGGTTTCTTGGCAGGAATGAAAATGCCTTCCTGAGCATAACGACATTTCATGATATCATAATGTTTTGCTTTATAGTCACCTATGGCTCCCTTGTAGTTCATTCTCAACTCCATAGATGTTGAGTTGACTCAAAAATTCATTTATTGTTGTATGTAATCGGAGAAAATTTGCTTCATACATCAAACCTCCTCAAACTGCAAATCTCACTCACTCGTTTGGCAAGTAGCTCTCCGCACATTGCTACACTTCAATCCCCGAGGCTTGTCAACATCCATTACTCGATGCTTTGTGATTGGTATTGGCCTTGGCTCCTTAGACTCACTTGTAAGTGTTGTTTAATTAACGGAAAGACCAAAGAATATATCTCGAGGAACCGGACAGTCTACCGGAAGAATATGCATTGATGTGGGTTGGTGACCAATGATAAAATGAATATAATGTGCAAAGTTTGACTAGATATAGTAGCGCGTTTTCAGGTGAAACATTACTTGAATCAAACTAAGTTAGATTTATGAACTCTATATCATCTGGTATAGAAGTGTCTCACAAACACAAAAGATCTTGTCACAGATAAGCTCACCCGCAGAGTAGAAACGACCATATTGTGACATTGGATGATCACCCAATGGACTGGTACTTGTGTCCCAACTGTTTTGGCTTCTGAAATTCAACAGAATAATACATGACCATCTAGGCCAATGAAATATCCTAGGTTTTCCCTTATATGCAAATAAGTGAACGAGATACAATCTTGAGGAAGAACCATTCATCAGTGAAATCATCCAGATGTGTCTTTTAAAAGCCAAATCCCCAAACTACCTGACCATGTGGTAGTATAAAAGTTCAAAGAACAATGTCTGTAAAGCTTATTTAGAACAATCATTAAGGTGAATGAATTAATCAAATGATTTTCCTTGCCAGCTTGCATTTTCGCACCAACACAGAGCAAGTCAGTGCACTGATATTTGTGTAGATGGCTTCACATTTTCAGCCGTATAAAACGGGCCCTATTGTTAATAAATATAGCTACCACAATTTAATATGCTTAGTAAAAAGAGAACTTAATTATATGATGAACTCGTCGTGTAAGTGAGGCGTGAGTTTGAATGCTAAAAGCGTTCGTTGTACAGCTGTTTTGACCTGGTTATGTCTCATCATTGGTGCAAGTCAATCACCCTAACGCGGGAGCTCACACGCATGCTACTCACTCGGCCACCGGGTGGCTGGTCAGAAGGCTTCTCATTTGGATGATGAATTTAACATATGGTCAAGTCAAATTCCCCATCACTCTCGTACAACAAGTAGTCAGGTTGGGGAAGTTTCTAACCGTTTCATAAACCTGGAAGCTAGTGTTGAGATGAGCGACGTCCGATGCCCGCCACAAGCTCACTAAGATGATTTTGCTATATCTTTTATATTCCATAAAGAGAATTAATTGAATAAGTGATACCCATTTCGAAATTGACTGCCAAACATGAATGACGTTTTACCCATCAGCGACTTTCATCCAATATAAATCCATAACATGAAAAGAGAGACGAAATTAATTGGACACAAAATGTTCTTTGTATGGTAGGTTGAATGATTTTGCACCTGATACTATCTATGATAACTGTGGACTTATTGAAGAAGTGTATTCCAAAGTTTAAAACTCCACAACTCACATGGGACTGAACCAAGAACAGTTGGATTTGCAGTCAAATGTTCTAGCACGGAGCTGTGCACATGTATCGATAGAACTCGCGCAACACAACTCACATTTTGGAAATACACTTCAGTTTTCAATGTCATGCGTGTATATTAGTAGAGTACTTCTGTTGCGTCTAGCCTTATGATTTTCAATCCCATGAATGGGGTTCGAAGCGCTAAGCATTGTGCATAAAAGGTAATCGGAATTTGAGACAAAATAAAGTGCACTTATACCTAACGCTGTGAAGCGAGACAGGCGTGATATGCTTATCTGTGAATGATCCAATAACCTTGAAATCCATCCAGATCATCCCTAATGATAAAAATGACGACAGCAATCGTTTGTTTCAATAAACCATTAGCATTGTTGTTTCATCACTGTCCTGCAACTGCAAACCCACGAGGTATATCATACTCTGGTTCGTCCGGAGGACTATAGTGATGATTACTAACAGGGAACAGTCCAAAAACCATATCACTTGTGTGTACGGGACAGCGGGGTGCACGGTTGCACAGACGCATTACTGTTACCCAGACCAATGTGATCAGATTATTGAAAAAAATCTAGCGCAAATTGATCTCCACATTGAAACCACAACAGTGTCGATAATAGTTATTATAAAACATTGAAATTGAAAAAAACAAGCATCACTGATTACGTATTCAAAAGTAAAATTCGATCAACCTTCACATGGTATGGTAAATCAGAATCAAAAATGGCTATTATTTTACTTGTTGATAGCCAAAATATACAAGACTGTGGATCCAGAGCACTTGAATTCATCGTAAAGTAACTATGGTAATAGTTGAAAACAAACTGCAAAGCGTTCGCACCGCGCTTGAAGACAAGAATGTTGGAGGCGAATTAGGTGAATGACATTAGGTTGAACTCAGTTTTAAATAGGAGAAGTTCTCATTGCAGACCTGGTAGTAATATACCATGTGGAGAAGTATTTTTGCATTATAAATGACGGATGACTTGAGTAAAGATGGGAGCTCACTTCTCGCATAAGGTGCATCAGGTTGTTCGGTTGTCTACGAATGCAAATCCTAAGACATAAGAAACCCAATACAGGAATAAGAGCAAATCGCAGCAGCTAGAAGTGTTGTCTGAACATGTGGAACAAAGATAGCTAAAGCCTGAATGCAGATTAGGCGCCTGGGATAAGTGTAAACTGGAATGGTATTATGCAGTACGGGAAACAGAGTGGTCTTCGAAGCCTCNTGTTTCAGTAGGGGGAAGATTAGCGTTTTGACATAGGCGAGGAAAACCTGTTCGATAAGTAACCGTAATTCTTCATTTTTCAATTTTAATCTTTTGATCAATTTACTGAGGGGACGAGGAATAAAACGGTAAAAACTATTAGACTGGTTAAGTGGTGGTGGTGGTGATGCCTGTGACTATCGTGGCGGTCTTTTAACATACATTTCAATGTGATACTGACCTTCACGGCTTGATAATGAAGGGATAAGCTAAAAAAGATGCACGAAGGTATCTGGAATGCAAATGAGGAACGTTTTATGACTACTGCGTTCTAAGACCCTTTGTGAACTATTGATAAATCATCGCACAGCGCCGCCAATGGAATTGTGACATTACATTGCAAGGGAAAGGAAACAATCTGGTTTAAATGAAGCTGGTTGTTCTGAAGGAGATGATGTGCTTATATGCTTTTCCATTGTTCTCTTCAAACCTCAATCCCTCCACTTCCCTTCTCTGATTTGGAATCTTAGGTGACGTGAGTCTTCTCGATGTTCGATATAACAAGTCTACGGGTAATGCGGTTGTGGAAGAGATGACCACGGGAGTAACTTCAATCGGGAGACGCTTTCGACCGTCGTATGCTGGAATTCCTTCTCCTCTGACCTATGGTTTAGACTCAGGTTTGGGTGAGGTAAGTACATTGGAGTATTATGACGTGAGAAATTCTTGTTGTCTTTATCTCCCGTCATTGCAAATCGTCTGCCCGGATTAGCGTTGTGACATATCCGTTCCGGAGTCATAAATGGTGAATGTATTATCCGTGTACCTGGTTTACAATCTGGACTGTGAATTATGTTCCTCAATGGTCCATCTTCGACCTTGGCTAAAAATATATCTGCCAGGAGTGGGCCAAGCGGTGATCCCATCGCTACACCGTCCTTCTGTTGATAGTACTTTTGAGTGTACAAAAAACTGTACGTTCCAAGTACATCACAGTATGAGTTCTTTAAGTTTTGTCACTTTTCACGCTATAACTGACCAGCAATTTGTGTGCAGGCTCTAGAATTTTTACAATCCACTCGGATATAAAGTGGTAGCCCGCATTGCTCATATCGATCACTGGTCTAAGTGGCACACTTGGTTTGTGAATATTCGACAATCCGTAGAGTCTCGGTGGTTGAGATTCACATGGAATGAATTTGTTAGATGTAGCCTTGGAGATGTAATTTTCTGCCTTAAGTTGCTTCAAGATCTCTGTAAGTCTCGTTTCGGATTCCTGAGTTTTATCCTTCTCTTAGCATCTTGACTGAATTTATTGGCACCGGCAACTTGTCAACTTGTCAAATTCGGATCGGTTAAACACCACCCATCTTGCAACTTTATAGTTTTTTGGTTTTGATAGAATAACATTCCGATTTTTGGTCAATTCTGTGATGGCGTTTTTATGCTGCTTCGTTAATATCCCTTTTTTCTGCATTCTTGTTTCATTATACTTGGAACAATAATGGACCGGTGACGATTTTAGGTTTTTGTGGTAATCAGAATAGTATTAAATATCGAAATAGGAGAACCTGTACTGTAATACTCATAACTGGATTGGATCCAATCCGGACTGCGGACACCAATGAAATACACGAGGAATTTATAGCAGCGAATGCTTGTGTTTATTATTGGAATTAGAGCATGTTTTATAGAAAGTAAAAGGTCTTATCATTAATTGAAGGACCGTCGTCCAATCACATAACCGTTTGCGCAGACGCATCACGTGTGCTAACTCGGATGTAATGTTTGCCCGGTGTACCATTAGCCGAGCTTCCTGAACTGTGCTTGGATGACATGAAGCTATACGTGTTCGTCCTTGGAATGCGGTCAAGTACGTCTGGATCACCACAGTTTTCTACACTAGTCTCTGATACAGGTACGATATCATGAAACGGGCTCATCAAATTCTCCAACTGTGTCTCAATCTCTGCTCGATTATTACAGAAATGCAGTGTATAAACTTAGTTCCGAGAGACAATGCCTCAAGCTGTAACATACTGAGTTCAGCAAATGAATAGTGGTACACGTGGGCTGGTTTTTTGTTGCTCAGTTCAGTAGGTTACTCTATTCGATAGTAATATTTCTTTTTGTCTTTATTGTTATTGTTGTTATTTTCAGTGGTGATGGTGGTGTTGGTGGTATTTGCCAAATAACAATGGTTCCCCTGAGAATAACTGAAGGATAATAGTAGCAACGGAAGATATGCTACAGGGTCTCTTTACTCTAGTATAGCTCAGATTAATTTCTGTTTATCTGATGTTGTATACCACAGTTTTTGAGTGAGGCTACCTCTTTTCTGGAGTATACCATCTTGTTACTCTCTCTGATTTTGGGTTGAAAATATTTTTCCCTCATTCTGTTCAAACAGGAAGATGTGGATTTACGTCAGGAAGTAAGCCAGTAATGATGAGCGATTTCAAGCTAATTGCAAAACATTCTACTCGGTTGCTTGATTGTTTGTTTCAATAACGTTTACCTGAATGCAACAAAGAGCCTTTGGTTTTCGTTGTTCTAACTGACAAAGTTATCATAGTTTTGCTCGCCACTGTTTTTGCACTTCTGTAGCATCGTATTGTTCGGAACGTTAGAGAAACAGATACGGGTTAATCGCAGTAAAAAAAGCGCAATCATTCAATCCCGTAACAGAGGTAAACGAGTAAGAGTGGAGGAATGCTCATTCATCGTAACTGTTTCATTCGAAACGCATTAACCATACATCTTTGTCGAACACCAAACTTGTGGGTATTAGCATCGTCAACCAAATCACCATCCGAATAATCCGAATCATCATCATCACGAATAACACCATCATCATCATCATCATCATCATCATCATCATCATCATCATCATCATCACCTAACACTTAGTTTTTCATCATGCTTTAGCCTTTATACAAGAAGTCGTTTTTATATGAGTCATATGAAGAAAACCGACGAATAAACTATATTTTTCCTTGATTCCGTGCCAGTTCATGAATATATTACTTGTGGATCACGATGTTTGTACCAACGAATCTTTCAATGTACTGTATACTGCTTGGTCTGTTGCACAATGCGAAACGGATTTTGTGCTGTTTGTTTTCCGAGCGTTCTCCTGGCGGTGCCCATTTTGCTTTGTTTTTTATTTTCTCAAGGACGCGCTCTCTGTCTCTCTGTTATTCTGATTAAAGATATATATATATATATAACGATACCCTTTAACCCCCTTTTCTGTTTTTGTTTTTGTAACAGATTAAAGAAGCTTATAAAGTTTTGGGCACCAGTATCTGTCCAGAACGACTTGTGAGACCCAATCGTGAGTATACTCCGTTTTCGAATGACTTTGAAGATCCACTGACGTCAACACGGTCCAGCCGACATGCTTTTTGTGGTTCTCACAGTCTACACAAGCCATCGGAAGTGGAACTAAATGATCGACTCTCATTGAAACAGTATCCCTATGTGAGTACTTATTTGAACAAATTAGAACACATTTCGGGCTATTTTGTTTCCCATTCAGTGGATCAGCAGTGTTATTGTTTGATAAGCCAGATCTGCCCTCAATTTGATGAACATATCTAGTGATGTTCAAAAGGAATGGTCCTGCCTATCCAATGCAGAGAGAAGCTATCAGAAAAGTAGACTTGCAGACAATTCGGTGAACTCGCAGATCTCAAAGTGAAAGTCAGTTTTATTATAGGTGATTTAACAAGCTAAAGCTTATCATGCCCCATAGGAGTTTTACAGATTATTGTGAATAGCTTCACAAAGAGAAAATAATAATTTTTATTATATGCATGATCATTCACGGATGTTGAGATTTAAGCCTTCCAATGCTTTATCAAGTTGCGATTTCAATAGTTCAACTGTAGGAGCACACACTACATCGGATGGGACGGAATTCCATAAGCCGAACACTCTGACTGCAAACGAGTGATGCCGGCAATCAAGGTGGTTGTTCTGGGTCTTCACCTTTGGTGGATGTCCCCTGAGGTGAGCATTATGAGCTAAAGTCAGCAGAGAACGGCAAGGGTGGTCAGATTGATGCAATATGTGATATGCCAATATTAGGTCTCCTCAAAGTAGGCAGTATTTGGATGAGTGGAGTGTCAATATTTGCAGTTTTTCGGAGTATGTCTTGTGATACAAAACTTCGACCAATTTTGTTGCCAGCCTTTGCGGACGTTCTAGAACCTTCTTGTCGTGGTTTAACCGTAGGTTCCATACTTGATCGGCGTACTCCGTGTGTGGCGAAACGAACGCTGATAACAAGCGTAGGAGCAGTGCTCTTTCGAACTGTCCGAAAACACGTCTGAGTAATCCAACTTGCTTTGGAGTCATAGATGATGCTCTGGCACAGTATGTGGAACATCCTACGTCCTCCTGTACCATAACTCTCAAATCCCTTTCGTCAGTAGTTAGCGGTAGTATTCTGGTTGGCTACATGTTGCAAACCGAATGGCACGAACCCGCGGACTAATCGTACACGGTGATCGGATAAACGATAATCAACCAAAGATTGATGAAAACCTTTGACACGTTTTTGTCAGAATTAACTGTATTCTTAACGTTCACCGGAAAATCACTGATCCCCTGTGCGAATTTTAGTTTGTATTGGTAGAGTACGATAGCATTGTTTACATAACCTTAGATTTTACAGGTTTGGACTCATGTATTCACTAAACTGTGATGCGCAGTGCTGTTTTCGTGACCCAGACAGATAGATATCCAAGCAGAAAGAAATACCGTTACACATGATTACCCAATGAGATGCTACCCAGTTTCGTTTCTCTCTCTCTCTTCTCACGAGACTAGGGTCCCTTGAGCGAAGCAGCTTGCAAGGAGTCACATGTTACATTTTAAAGTGTAGTTGCTCGAGCAAAGTGATGCCAGATAGCTTTCAACTCAACGTCCTCCAATTCACAATTCGAGTTAGATGATCTCTGTGTTGCCATTCTTTTTTCGATGACTAGGACAGAAAGCTATACATACGCATTCATCATCGCATTACGTTTAACCATTTTTTGTTATTTTTTTATCACAGTTGTGTTTTGCATACAAAGGTCAACTGTCAGGATACGTTGATTTGCACTACAAGATTCAACTGTCTGACAACAGTGTGGATTCCAAACGCCTGAGAGTTCAGGCTTTCCCACCGCCAATGGATGATCGCAAGTATGAAGCAGTGCAGAAGAGTCAATTTATTGCCAGTATTTTTAAGGTTTATTATCCACGTAGAGGGAGGACAAGCACTATTTGTTCATTGTTCGTAATGCTCTACACACACATACACACAAAAATACATTCACATACAAGTCTCCATTTCTATATTCTCCATCAATGTTCACATTTGTTCCAAATATCGGTCAAACTTCCATCCATGCACTTATCTAATAAAGTCAAAGTTTTATTATGGAAGACACTCACAAGCGGTTGCTTTTCTAGTCCCGTAGGGTCTAGCACAAATGAATCGATTCACGGACCATGGAAAGTAGATGAATTTCACAATTTACCCTAGTCTCGTGCACTGCTACGGATGTTGGAGTTTAAGACTTGTCAAGCTTCATCCAGTTTGTGCTTGAAGGAATCTATTTTGGGCGCAGAAACTACACGTGGTGGTAGAGAATTCCAAGTAGTGCAGACTCTGAGGGCTATTGAATAGCGCCGGCCTTCTATTCGGCAATTTTGGGGGTACTAATTTGAATGAGTTCCCCATCAGGTGAGTGTTGGGTGACAAGGCAAAGAGTGAAGAGTGAGGTTGTGTCCATGAAATCCCGTCTAACAGATGACAGTCTAGCTGGGCTGAGCGTGTATATACTATTGTTCTGCCTTCCCCCCAAGCAGGCTCGTGCTTCATGGTCCTCGGTTGAATAAAATGACTAAGGTGAAGGGTAAAATTTAGAGGAATAAGAACCGGAAGGTAAGATCAATACATGAGTGGACAAGCCGAATGATGCTCTCCATTTCGAACACGATCACAATTTTAGATTTAGATGAGGAAGAAGGCGAAGGCGACAGATCAATCTATGCACGAGTGTGTGGTGATGCGTAAATGGTTTCTGCATCAATTTGAAGAAAATGAATTGCATAGTAACCGTCACAACAACAAAATATTAAATTACAAAGTAGACAACCAAATCTCAAACGAAATGCATTCTGTTTAGGGATGCTGGGAACAAAAAGATCGGGGAAGAAGACAGTGGCATGAATCCCACAGATTGGGATATGTCAAAAATCTCAGTCTGCCGGTAAACAAAATACTCGTACGCCAGGTTAGTTTAAAACTGAAAATCGCACCATCCAAGTCTTGAATGGCTAGAATGTGATATCACAGGACAGGGCAATGGACTTCAAATTCGTGTATGGTCAAATTAACTGAAGACTATCTGATTAATGCTTGGGACGATGCGCATGACTTTTGTTTTCCCAGAGATAGTTGAGGAACCTGGAAGAATCTGAGATTCACTGAAAATAGATAACAGTTGTTAAAGACAAATGCAAAAATACTGAGTAGCCCACTAGGTACTGAGTAAACTGCTGAGCCGCCACCACCATGGTGATGTAACCCTTTTGGATGGATACCTTCCATAATCAAAAAAGCAAAATGAATCACATTCGAAACGTCAGATGAACTGAGACACACTTAGAGTGACCATCAATTATCTACCATTTCGCTCTTTGTGCAGAAGAAATGATTCAGGTAGTGTAGTGAGTTACACGGTAACTAGAAGACTCGCGAATCCGTAATGGCACAATCATGTGTCCGGTCCAGTGCGCTTAGGCCACAATTGAAAGTTTCCACTCTATTCATTCAAATCTGTTCAATCGGCCACAAAGAGAGAGAGACAGTATGCACAGAAGCAACAACTCCAGGTCACCTCGGACGAATATTTTTATGGATGAAATTATTGACGCACTCACGCTAACTTCATCATTCATTTTGTGTATTTAACCTGTAATTCACAACTTACAGTTCATTTTTTGAATTCTTTCCTTTATTGGGAATAAAGGTGGTTCTATTCCTGCCTGGACGTTTACAATGCTGTCTCCAAGTCTTACAATCCCAAGGTATCCGTACTCAGTTTGTACCGGTTCAGTCTGATCCCTGCCAAACTACTTTGGAACGAGGACGCAGAATTTTACATTGATACGGTCTCTGTATCAGCCTACCTACCGGACCCAAATCCAGAAGGTACGTTTTGATGTTTCCCTTTCTTCTTTTGTTCAAATGCTTAAAAATACAAAACCGATAACAGAAACACTATGGATGAAGCGGATCGGTAAAATTAAGCCTCATCAGCCTATGATTTAAATTTTTTTTCATTTAACTGTGATAAGATCAGAAAACTCGGTGGGATTCGAACCACTTGAGGTTTGTATCGCCTCCTCTTCATCACCAGAGGCAACGTCGACAGCACTGATCTTGTCACATTAGGATCACTCACCCAACTTACAGCAAACATCTCTAGTGAGCATGTGATTTCTAATTATTGAAAGCAAGTTTGCTCGATACCATGCTTTATATACTCTAGTTACCTTGGCACTTCATCTAGTCATCTAGTCGCTTGGGTTATGTAATCTAATCTTTGGACTGTGTAAAAGAAACAACTGAGATGTGATTATAATGCGCGTGACGTACTAACCACATCGTATGGTCTTCGTACATGGAGGTTGGACGGAACGGATTTTTCTTAATACTAATTGACTGCTATCAGTAACATCAAGGCCTTTTACACGATTGAATGCACTTTACGAATTGCTGTGCCTAATCCGCACTTATTTTACCGATCGTTCGGTGTATGTGTGTGTACTACATGCATCAGTTATCGTTTAGGGCGGAGGTGCTACAAAGAGATGTTATACCTTGGAGTAAAATATTGCTTTACTCGTTTGACTAATGTATAGAAAATTTCATATGCGTAATTTTGTTTTAGGGTCGTTGAATCCACGTTGCATTGTCTGTGCGCAAACCTTATAAATTTTACCGGTTGTTTCGTGTATGGTTTGGTAAATTTCGGGGTACGAAAACTGTTTGATTGAATAGAACCTCTTAAGCTATAATTTAGTTTGTGTGGGAGAAACATTGGTAGGGAAGGGTTTTTTCCTCATCACAAAGTAAAACANAATCTCATAGGAGAATTCCTCATGTATAGAGGAAATGAATCGTAAACTAAAAATCTAGGTGGTACTGCACAGATGCTTCGATCTGATTGGATTTCCTCAACAGTGTGAATTTATCAGATCAACTGGGAATCAAGTCCGGACCCTTACAGACAATGTAAACATGCTACCCACTCGGGTTTGAATGTTTTCAACCGAGTCATAACTACGGAGGTAGTGCTGAGATGACCGAGACATGGTGCTCGCAACAATTATGATGGTTTGATTCCTTGATCAACGGCCAAATGGGTAGCATGATTACATTTTGCCGATGAGTTCCCGGGTTCAATCCGCAGTTGGGTCGCTGGCTTTACGTTGCTAATGCGACCCAACCAGGTCGAAACAGCTGTGTTGTGCTTCTAGCTTTTTAGTTCACATTCCATTTGCTCTAAGCACGACGAATTGTTCAATAAATCTGAATAAAGTCCTCTTCTTAACACACCAGGATGAAATGATCAACTGTAAAACCTGTCTTGAGAAAGGTTACCCACGGTAACCAAAAAGTCAGCGAATATAATTCTCTACCGATATCGCTGTGTTATTAACATTTTAAAATTCACAATAAAATCCTCTTCTCTTCTCTGGATACTCTGGATAATCAGCAACCTTTGTCCTCGTACTTTTAGTAGCCCTACTAGAATACATGTTTGGATTGAGCCCCAGGAGGGTAAATTTGGTTTAGGGAGGGGGGGGGGGGG